CGCCTCGCGTCGCGTTTACGTCACATACTTTAGTCTTATATCCTTCGCCGCGTGAGTGTAAGAGGCAACTAGAAATTTTACAAAAAATTAAGTGGGTACAATAGAAAGTTTTTTGTTAGTTTTTATACAAATGGTAAGTAATTACACTGTTTTAAAATTTAATTCCTTATATTTTGCTTCGTAACAATTTCATATATTTTATAAAATTGCCATTTCAAATACTGTGTCGTTCACGTATCACTATATTTAATAGCCAGAATTAACTGAAAAGTAAATAAAAAGTATGAGTTATCACAATAAATCATGTAATAAACACAAATTTTCATATCCCACAAAGTCCAATGCGCGAAAATTACGTTTTATGTTATAATTTCGATATATAGTGAACATTATGGCGAAGTTGTTTTCAACAATAACTAAAAATAAAAATGTGAATGTGAAGCACCAGCTATCAAATAAAAAAAGAATCATCGAAATCAGTTCACCCAGAAGGTTATGAGGTAACACACATAAAAAAACACAGTCGACTTCCTTCTCCTGTTTGAAGTCGTTAGAAAAATGGCGTTGCTCAAAGATAGCGTAATAAAGTATATACTTTATTACGCTTTCTTACGGATGTACAAGTATATACCTGTGATTTAATTTTTTTTGAGGCTTCTACTGAGTTTATCGATATAATTATATTATATATTTCTTTTCTTTATGAAAATCAAGTGTTTCTATGTCCTTGTTTCTTTCTTCATAATATTTATTCGATTTTAACATATATATATATATATATATATTATATATATATATATATATATATATATATATGTGTATATGTATATATATTGAATTTTAACATAATATAGCGATTCGTTAGATTTGCCTTAGTTGTAAAAGTGAAATAATATTTACTGTTTTTTCTTTTCAGTAGAATTGTTTGGTTTTGTTATTTAATATTGTTTTAACCATTGAACTTGTTTACGCAACTTTTGTTTAATAAATTGTTTGATGCTGTTTGATGACTTTTTTACACATAATTGTTTACCACCGGCGGATTTTCCGGACCGATACGACTTAGGGACCTTCAAGAAAAGAGCTTACACCTTTCTAAACGGCCGGCAATGCATCTGCAATTCCCCTGGTGTTGCGGTTGTTCATGGGCGGCGGTAGTCACTCATTATCAGGTGAGCCGCATGCTCGTTTGCCCCCTCTTCTATAAAAAAAAAACACAAAAATATTTTTTTAAATAATAAAATTAATCCCTCCCTCTCCTTACAGTTTCATTCCACTGCTGGTGATGGACCGTTACATCCTATAAAAACCCCCAATGAACATAGGCCTCCACTATATTCCTCATAGAGGGTATACTTGTCATAGTTGCCACGTTCTGTTCCACGGTACACGTACCTTGTTGTATTGAACAGTGGATCAGTCGCCTCTTACGAAACCCACGGAATAGTATGAATATTCATACACCGCCACTACACAGTAATTGATAATTTCTCGAAACATTTCATTTATCGACAAATCGTCTTGCAATCGTCGTCACTCTAGCGCTCACTTGACCTTCATATAAATAATTCGATATTTTAATTGTTGATAATTTTTTATTTTTCGATATGAACATAGTAATGACTCTAAGTTATTTTTACCATTTTTTTAAAAAATCGTCTGGCCTGACCTACTATACTCTTTGGCTTGACCATAGTTCTAACTAAATATGTCCAATAAAATGTCAAGGTCTGAGAGGTTAAAAAAAAAACAACCTTTTTTGTAATAAACTGACGTTTATTATCTACTTACAGAGTCATTTTTGTCAAATAAAAATTCGAATTCTACAACCGTTCAATTTTTTACAAACTCCATCCAGACTACTTTACTAGAAAAAGTTAAATTCTAAATCACAATAACTTAAACACATTTTTGATACATGCATTTAAAAATTAAAATATTTTTTTTCAAATTGGCGCAAAAGGCAATCTGCAATATTACATTAATTATAAATCCAAGTAAAGCATTTGAAAAGTAAATCTTATCGATACTATTTATCGATATATTTAAATTAAAAATTATCTAATTTATAAAAATATAAATTAATGATGTGTTCGAATATTGCTTTTAGATTTCAGACTAAAATTAATATTGCACCTAATTTTTAGTTACCTATAACAATTTCGCATCAATAAATAAAAAAAAAAATGCGAATGCGCGCTAGGAGCTATACTTCTTAGGTGTGATTAACAAAAACTTGTATTATTATATTCAAATAGAATGAAGTTAGCCATTCTTTGAAAAATCGGCTTCCTTTATCTTATTAAATTTTCATTCGTACTTATTTTGTTAAACTCATAACATACTCGTATAATACACATTGAATTTAAACACACCTAATGGGGCATAAACTTAAAAATATAAAATTACAATAAGAAATATATCAGGAGAGAAAAATACACGTTTCTTTATTAATTTCTAAATAGCGTTATCACTAACACGAGTTATTGCTTAATTAATAATTATTACGGCTAATAATTAATAAATTCATTTATATGGATGTGATGTTCTTTTGATATATATAAATAAAAGATTATAAAATCGCCTAAAACTAGACGCAATTTAATGCTATGTATCAAAGGCTTTATAAAATATTAATATAAAGAAATGGTTAATTATTTATGTTACAATTATCTTGTTATAAATATCTTGTGTGTCGGGTTTTAGGTTGAAGTCACAGAAATTTCGGTTTATAAAAGAATCCGCAGACCAACAAAATGATTTTTTTTAAATTAATTTTTGATATTATAAACAATATCTGAAAAACACCCAATCTACGCGTTTGCTTGTTAAAAAAAAACGGAAATAAAAGTATAATATTATTTCAATGTTCAATTTTGGGCATATTGTGATTGTTGTATAATGCAAACAATTCATTCATTATTGATAAACTTATCAATAACTTTATCAAATAATTATTAATAATATAATAAATAGATCTGTAAAATTTTAAATTAAATTAGAGATCCTTTTTAGGCACATATTTACAGCTATGTTAAATTTTCAGGGCCTAGAGAAACCATATCAATAGAAAAAACAATTGTACTGGTTGGCTATGGATTTTAAGTAATTAAAGAAAAAAATATGGACATCAAAAGTACTGTATATAAATTGAATGTACCTTGCGTCGGTAAGAGTAGTTTTGTCTTATGTCAGCGTAATATTGCAGCTGTTCTTGTAATATTATTTAAATAATGGATTTTGATACTTATGTGGAGCGAATGCTTGCACATATGAACTATTAGTGGAAATGATGAAACAAGTACTCCGTTGATGATAAACACCTCAAGTTATTTAAATTCTTAGGCGCCTTGAGTCTTGAGATATTATCGTCATCGACTATCCTCTGGCTTAAACTGTCGTCGAAATCTTTCTTAGACTTTGCAATATGACACATATTGAGAAGTTTTTAAACGAATTATTATAAAGTTTAATTTCTTATTTCTTGTCACAGGCAAAAATATAACCTTACGAGTCCGTTATCGAAATATAAAGAAAGATAAATGTTTTGACGGGAAAACCTAACGGTAGATTGGATGCATGGTTGGAAGTGGATTTTGATACGTAAAAGTTGTGCAATTTTTTGTATATAAATGTGTGTGCATGTGCATTATTTGTGAACGATGAAAAAAGTGCTCCAATGGTAACATTGTCTTGAGATACCATCGTCATCGACAGCTGCCGTCAAAATCTCCCAAACACATTACAATGTGACCAGTTAAGATATTGCGATTCTCTTTTTACATGTTTATATTTTAAGCACTTAGTATATTACAGCGTACATAATTAAATCAATTTTATGTATTCTTTTGTTTGAATGTATTGTAGTCAATGTCAAAAAAAAAATGTCAAAATAAAAAAACAAAAAAAAAAAAACATATGTATCAAAAAGTTTTTTATTACCTACAACATTGTGGAATGGGCAGTAATTTTTTTACGAGGATACATTTTCTTTGGTGTAAACATTATTAATTACATATACAGTTACAAACCTATAATCTATAAATATTAAATTGGGGCAATTTTTAAAACAACTTTACGAAATTCCAAACATTAATATCACTAACTATACATTAAGGCCATATACGTATTAAAATAAATAGGTATAAAAAGGCGCATTCACCTACAATTCTTGAATAATGAGGCTTTTATAGGTTAAAAATTTAGGTAAAAAATTCCATGCCTTAAACGTCATACGAGATCAAAAAGCGATATTTACATTTTTAATACTATAAGCGCTCACGATTATTCTAATATTAATTTATTATTTTAATATTTAATACAAAATTAGTTTAGAGAAGAAGAAGAAATGGCAATTTTGTTTTTGTCAAACAATGTATTAAGCCATTATTTTGGTTAAGTATACTATGTCCCTAAGTGTGGCATAGAGCAATACAAGTAAGTTATTATACTCTTTAGACTCTTTGAAACAAATCATTGTTACTATCAAAGAGTATATAATCACTATTACAATCCGACACATTTTTGTTACCTATTATTAATTTTCTGTACAAAAGGAAATATTATATCTCTATGCATCATACTATACTAACAAAGAAAGATAGACTGAGCGCTGCGTACATTTTCAAGGAAGCCAAAACCATGCTTAAGTACTTAACAAGCACTCACACTACTTTGCCTGTGCAAGTCCACTGTGAGACACACACATTTCCACCTAAAACAAAGTTATTGTTTGTAAATGATTTTAGATGCTTATGTATGCGTAAGTGCGTGTTCTTACAATAAGAAGAACATGGTTTTGGCTTGGTTTCTGCGTCAATTGAAGTGTACGTATCGCTCCGTCTATCTTTCTTTGTTCTGAGATCTATGTCTAACTTACTATAATAGCGTCTGGTGATAAATATAATCGTTCACGATTATTCACGGATTTAATAATAAATTAATACAAAATTATTATTTTTCTTTAATTCCAAGTATATAAAATGGTTGGTTCTGGTAGATTATGCCAACTGGACGAGGGTAATTAAGGCGAAAATTGCAAGAGAGACCTCTCTGAGGTGCGATGCCGTTGAGAACATCGGCGTCAGTTCTCCTGCGTGTGCTGTGTGCGTTCCTCCGAGGGTGTGGAACTGGAAGATATCGCTAACCTGAAATCAAAAATGTTATAAGACATATAATACTAAATACTGCTCGACTGCCTGTCTAGTGGTTGTTGATCATAGTCACGGGTTCGAATCTCGGGTCTCGCCAAAAATTCAGTTATTGACTTTTTCCGTCAAGAAATTCTCCGTAGCTGCCCGGAGTCAGGAAATTGACGGTGTCTCACCCCCGTACCTCGGGAAGCACGTAAAGCCGTTGGTCCTGCGCCTGATCTCTCTCCGGTCGTGTTGGTTTACCGTCCCATCGCACAATGGGCACTATAATCCTGTCTGCACAGGTGCAGTCTAGTCTCCGTTGAGACTGGCCGCCGTGACCAAATTCGGTCTGGAGGACATTATTATTATGGGGTATTTGTATAGTTTTGTCATCTGGTTGGGCTGTATAAATATATAATTGTATATGAAAATGATAAACTTACATAAATATCAATAAAATAAAATAAATACATAAAAATTACATAAATATATAAAAACCCAACCAGATGGAAGCCCTCAGCAGGGGAGACCAAACGGCCGAGGGTTAGGGGGAAAGGGAAAGAAACCGGCGGACGATGCGGGCGGTATCGAGGAGCACCGCCTTCTGCATTTGAGCTTGGAGCGATCCGTCACGGAGTCCCAGTCGCCTCAGATGACCCGAGAGGCTGACTGGGATTAACCCGTTCGCAGAGACGACCACAGGAATAATAATAATAATAATAATTATTATTAATACTAAATAATAAATAAAGGTAAACTCTATCACTCTAATAAGGTAAGATCTTGGTTGAAATTGAAGACTACTTGAAGAATATAGACCTTAGCTACAGACTTTATTGGCCATACAGAAATTACATCACACGTTAAGGTAGGGGGGTGGGGGAGTAACAAAATCTGTTATTGCGTGACAAGGGACAGGTTTAAAAGCTATTTGACGTACCATTTTAAAATCTAAAATACTAATACGCGAAATTTTAAAATTTTACGTGGTATAGCCATGCTGCAGCTACATTAGTAGTAGGTATAGTTGTAGCACGAATGGGTCGGCTCGTACGGGGAAGGACCATGCTCTCACAGAATACCAGCGTAAAATAGCAGCTTAACGCTGCTGTGTTTCGTATGGTGAGTGTAGAGAATCGGAGAGCCTTTTTACTGGAAACGAGGCATTCCATCTTAGTCCTCACGGGTGACAACGCATCAGCATTTTGATGCGTAATTGAGGATAGATGTAGATGTCTATGAGCCGCAGCAACCACTTACCTTCAAGTGGATTGTGTGCTCGTTTGCAACCCTTATTCTATAAAATAAAAAGCATTAGTATGCTTAAAGATATCGAAGCAAAATGGCTGACCTCGTTCCATCCGTATCTGTTCTTGGCCTGCACGATGGCCTCGTACACTGCGCCGGGCTGCAGGCCGTGCAGCTCGTGCGCCACGCGGTGCGTGAGCGAGCCCGCCGGCTGCGGCGCCGGGATCACCACGTCGTGCCAGCGCCCCGGCTGCTGGAACGACTCGTTGATCTGCCGGACAAAGGTTTAAATATGCAAAAATACATGAGGAAGGAACGACTTCAATCAATATTTTTAAAAGAAGATTATTTGAGTAGTTTTATAATGATGAAACTGTGCATTAAAATTAACTTGGACCACCGCGTTAGGGTTAGATAGGAAAACAATGAACTCGCTTCTTGTTTGACGATTAACTATAAAATTGTCATATCATAATGAGAAATAAAGTTTAAACCGAATATATATTGTGGTAACACATAATGGGGAACTTTGAAAAACTATAATGGGCAACACTTTTTCTCTCCCACAATAAGTAAAAACCTACGTGTGTGTTTTAATTGTAACACCAAATGTTTAATTTATCCTAATGTTATAAAGTACCAGAAGAATCATATTATACGATTAAACGCAAAATTTAATATAGTATTCATTTTTGTGATTTGGGTAAACACAATTTGGCGAATTTTCTACAGATTTATTATATGTATTTTTTTGCAGGAAATATTACAATAACAAACTAATTTTCTATAAACTTATTATATGTTTATGTTTACTTATTATATATTATATGTTTAGATATAGTAGCAGTGCAAAAATATCCACTACCCCATATGTGTGTTATAATTATGAAACGATAGAGGGATACAAACCAGGAGATGGGCAGCAGCGTCTTCCTGATAACTACCAAAACTGTTAATGATATGCTATGCCACAGCATAGCATATCTTCAATCACAATTAAATAATAAGCTTTCTTTTTTTTAAATAATGTTACCTTCACACTAACATTTTCTCCTGTATCGTGGGGACAGTTTAGATACATACATTTTACAAAGACAAACATCCATACACGGAAGAATTATTTGTAAGCCATACAAATACTTGTGTTGTGCGGGACTCGAACCCGCAGCCTTTAGCGCAGTAACTCATTGCTAAGCCACTGTGGCCCGGAACTATAAAAAGTTCATAATATCTTTTTCTTTTTATTTATCAACCCGTAAAAATTCCTTCCTGAACATGAGTTTATCATCTTCGTCACGATTTGCAGGTGATTAATAATTCATGTCTCGGCGGCGCTATTGATAAGATGCGACACGTGTCAAGGCGGCGTGACATAAACCGTTTCTAAGCGAACAGATTATACACAGGTTTGTTTAAAGCTGAACGCACATTTGTCCGCACCTTACGTATTGTACGCGCCGTACGTGCCGCGTTTTACTGTTTACTGATGGCCTCGCACATTTGCCCGTACGCATCGTCCGCGCCGTACGTAAGTCTTTTGTATTACCAACAACTTTTGTAGTTTTTTCCAACCACTGGTGTAGAACGGTACAGTGAAATTGATCGCTCGAAATCACTATGGTAAGAAATATAGTAATAGCCTGCTTATTGGCAGCGGAAGAATAAAAATAAATGCGAAGAAAAAGAAGATTCTGGATTCATAATATTAATTTAAAAAGGCAATTGTATGGAAAATATGAAGGGGATATACTTTATTTAAAGACTTATTAGATGACGATGAACGTAGATATTTGCATTTAACATACAAGAAATTTCAAGAATTGCTACATATGCTAAAACCTTATCTTTTTATGGAGAACTCAAGATTTAGAAGGCCAATTGAATCAGAGAAAAGACTTGTTGTATGTTTGAAATAAGTATTTTTATTGATCATTCAGTAATCAGGTATAATTGGGTTTTTGAATTAAAATTAACTATTTTTTTGTTAGTTCAGTATTTAAATAATTTATCGCTAAGAATACATATTGATAATCGATGCAAAAAAAAATTCTAATCATGTATAATTAATTACGAATGAATTAAAAGTTATAAAAATACAAAAATTATCATGTAAGTCGAAACCACCAGTTATAGTGGAAAATCCACTAAGTTGGCAACATTAGACAACACTGAATATCAGCACGCGCCGCGTTATATGACGTCATCAGCATTCGTCCTTCGATATCGTATACCTACCGCATTTTATAAAATTCGGCGCGTACGGTGCGGCTGTAATGTGCGAGGTTTCATATGATTTCATACAACGAATTCTAAAATTCGGCGCATACGACGCGGACAAATGTGCGTTCAGCTTTAGCGTCATATTTCGTCAGTTTTTGCTCTTACAACATCCACGGGGAGAATGATAAATTCTTATGCCCCTTCATCTCAAGGCAAAGTTATAAAAAATAAAAGATATATTAAAGAGTAAGTTTTTTTAGGTAAACTAGACTTAGTAAATCATCATTATCATTATGTGTTTAGATGTAAGTGTTGAAGTAAATGTCTTTAGTTAAAAAAAGGGTGCAACTGACCGCAAGCTGGCGGTAGAGGAGGCGCAGCTCGTCGAGCGGCGGGTAGCTGTCGACGGCGAAGGCGAGCGTGTAGGCGTGCGCGCGGCGCGCCAGCGGCGGCGAAGTGAAGCGCGCCGGGCCCGGCCGCCCCGACACCTCCACGTGCTGCCGCGCGCGGCCCAGGCTGTTGTCCGCCACGCAGCTGTGGGCACCCGCACCGTGTCACCGTGTCACTGTGCTACTGACTCACAGCGTCACTGTGCCACTGTGCCACTGACTCACCGCGTCACTGTGCCACTGTGCCACTGACTCACCGCATCACTGTGCCACTGTGCCACTGACTCACCGCGTCACTGTGCCACTGTGCCACTGACTCACCGCGTCACTGTGCCACTGTGCCACTGACTCACCGCGTCACTGTGCCCCTGTTCCACTGACTCACCGCGTCACTGTGCCACTGTGCCACTGACTCACCGCGTCACTGTGCCACTTGCCACTGACTCACCGCGTCACTGTGCCACTGTGCCACTCACACAACGAGTCGTTGTGTCATGTGCTACTGAGTCACCGCGTCACTATGGCACTGTGGCACTGAGTCACCGTGTCACTGTGTCATTGTGGCACTGGAATTGTATCATTGTGTCACTGTGACGCTGTGTTACTGTGTCACTGGAATTGTGTTATTGTGTCACTGTCATTGTGTCACTTTGACATGGTGTCACTGTGTCACTGTGGCTCTGTGTCACTGTGGCTCTGTGTCACTATGTCACTGGAATTGTTTTATTGTGTCACTGCGACGCTGTGTCACTGCGACGCTGTGTCACTGTGACACTGTGTCACTGTGGCACTGAGTCACCGTGTCACTGTGGCACTGTGATACTGAAACACCGTGTCACTGAGTCACTGTAACACTGTAATTGCGTCACTTTAATAGTGTCACTGTGCAACTGTGTTACTGTGTAACTGTAATTATGTTATTGTGTCACAGTCATTGTGTCACCGTGTCACTGTAACACTGTCATTGTGTCACTGTAATAGTGTCACTGTGACACTGTGTTACTGTGTAACTGTAATTGTGTTATTGTGTCACTGTCATTGTGTCACTGTGGCACTGTGTTACGGTTTCACTGGAATTGTGTTATTGTGTCAGTGTCGTTGTGTCACTGTGACACTGTGTCACCGCGTCACTGTGTCACTGTTTTGTGGCACTGTGTCAATTTGGCACTGAGTCACCGCGTCACTGTGTCGTTGTATTATTTGTGTTTGTAGTGTGTAGTATTTGTAGGTAGCAGCCACGCCATAGCTGTGCAATTGTAGCGCGCACTGATTGCACTGTGTAGCTGGTGGGGCACGCCTATACAGTGGCAGTGCGAGTGGGTCCGCTCCAGTGGAGGGAGGACACTCACACACGGCACTGGGTCAGTGATGGGCCACGACATTGATGGGACACGCCTCCACGTGGTCCATCCCTGGTCGAGCCGACCCATTCGTGCTACAACTATACCAGAAATATAGCTGCAGCGTAGCTCTACCGCGTGCAAGTAGACTGTTAGTTTGTTTATCACTTTAGTTTTATAATTAAAACTATCAATAGTTAAAACGAGGATGGAACAAATTTCACCTATTCTCTTTTTATAAAAGTTTTGCAGAAGATCTTCCCTAACTAAAACAGTAAATTCTCCCCTCCTCTCGTCCTCGGAAGTATGGTAAAATACAAAATAGGCTAGTAGGCCTATTTTGTATTTTACCATAAGCCATGTCATGGTTTCAGCATAACCTGCTGAAGCCATGACTGTCCTACCACTTCTCTTGCTACATCATTTTTCTCCTTTATCATCAGCCCGAGAAAGTCTACTGCTGGATTTAGGCCCCGACGTAGTAAGGATCCCTTCATCGTCACGCTTGGCAGGTGAATTTATTATCGCAATACCATACGTCTTGCTCCTTAATGCTCCTGAGATCTTGACGATGGTTTGTGTTCTACCGTAAATCAAAACGTAAATGAGACAAATAGCCCGGTGACAAAAATTTGAATTTGGAACGGACGAACACTATCAGTTATAATGGTTCAAGACTTCATATCATAATATTATATTCGTTATACATTAGTTCCTTCGCTTTCTTTTCTTTCATTTCATTAATCTTTAAATTTCTTGAATTATACACTAGTACGATAAAAAAAAAAACAAGATTATATAAGTTTTAGAATTCTATTAAACCAATATATTATACATCACCCAAGAGCTCCTGCCGCATCCAGAGTCAGGATCTTGGGCAACCAGACTGTCATCTCTCAGGAAGCTATATCTTTTATCCTTTTACCTATAATTGCCGAAGTCTTCAGGCTGCACGTTGGCGATCAGCAGCGTGTGGTTGTTGCCCCTCGCCGACATCGTGACACGTTCTGAAGCGCTCAGCGGGAACGAGTTTTGGTACCACGATACCTACAATATATAAAGCAACTCTCAATTCCATACATATACATACATACATAACACTCACGCCTGTCACCCAGAGGGGTAGGCAGAGACTACGGACTTCCATTTGGCGCGATCCTGACACACCTCTCTCGCCTCTCCCACATCCATATACCTACGCATACACGCTCGTCGATTAAAGGTACTCTTAATTTGGCCCATTTTCAACATATCGCCAATTTGGTCGATAAACTAAGGCAAGCAAATTTATGTTGCAGAGGTGAACGGCAGCGTCGGGAAGGGGCGGTCTCATCAATTACGCGAGAAAACGATACCATCGATATCATCTCGATTTACCAGAAGTTCTCACCAGCTATTTTTCCGGACCGATACGACTTCCGAACCTTCAAGAAAAGAGCTTACTCTTTTTTAAAAGGCCGGCAACGCATCTGCAATTCTACTGGTGTTGCAGTTCTTCATGGGCGGCGATAGTCACTTACCATCAGGTTAGCTGCATGCTCTTTTGCCCCCTTTTATGTAAAAAAATAAATAAAAATAAAAACGCATTAAAATTATATTTCTTATATAAACCACCTTCTTATTAGTGGCTGCTATGGCACTAACAATAAGGTGGTTTGCATACATACCACATATTTATAACAACGACATCTATCTTCTCTTTTTGATCAAAATACCGATGCCCTGAGGACTAATATGAAATGTATTCCCCTTAGAATGACGAAGGAATTAGAAGGGACCCCTATGAAGCAGACAATAAGCGACAGTAGCCTAATAGTAGGGTGTGGACCACGAACTTAAAAGGTCGTGGGTTCGAATCCTCCATTCGACTACTGTCGTGAACCACTCCTAACACAAGTATTTTAAGCTTACTAGGAGTGGTTAAAGGGAATATTACTAATGTTAATAACATTGTTAGTATTTGGTAGTATTTAAAAAAAAAAGTCGCTTCCTCCACATCCATATACCTACGCACGCATACACGCACGTCGGTTAAAGATACTCTTGATTTGGCCCATTTTCAATATATCGCCAATTTGATAGATAAACTTTCGCCTAGGGCGTCCCTTCCCGACTCTGTCGTTCACTTCTGTAACATAAATTTGCTTTGTCACTCTTTCCTCAATCATTATTTCTGCATGATCAAACCACCGAAGCATTCCTTTCTTAATCCTGGTCACAACATCATCTTGCAAACCACACTCTTCTCTTATCACACAATTTCTCACTCTATCATTCAGATCCAGCCCTAGCATACTCCTTAAAGATCGCATTTCTACAGCATTTATTCTACTCTAGTGCTTCTTCTGTTAGACCCAACTTTCACTACCATACATTAAAGTAGGGACTAAGGCTTGTTAACTTTTGCTTTGTTACTAGTAAAAGGGTTTCCGGTCCCCGTTAGTCACCAAACAAGTAAGTACAGCAGCATTAAATTGCTGTTTCGTGATGAATTGAGAAAGGAGCCATGGTAGCTCAGTTGTAAGCCCGCGTGGAATTGTTTATTAAAATTTTAAGTGCTGATTTATCACGTACCATTCATAACGCCAACATTAATTAGTCAGGAACGTACAAAGCGAGTCAAATAAGAATAGGAACGTCAATGATCTCGAATGACCGCGATTGGTCAGCTGTCACTTGAAAAAAGCACAGCTTGCAAAAAAAAAAAAATAATTTGCGTATTAATAAAGTTTTTTTCCACTTTATTTAACTGATTTTTAGTATTATTAGTGAAATATTTTAATTACCTATATAAATCCATGTTCTAATTTTATAAGAGAAAGCAGCAGTGATGACAATGATGGCAATTTTGAATATACATGAGCTCTTTTGTAAATAAATATTATTTCAAAAATATCTGTTTTGCTCATCCTACCTAACTGGTTTATATTGACGGCTATAACGTCAAAATATGGCGCCAGGTCAGGCCTGTTCCTATTTGAAAGGCATAGTACAAGTACATTAAAAAAAAAAAAGATTTTAAGAAGTTACCTCAGCTGGTGGGTCGGCCAGCACGGTGCACAGTAATTCAGCTCTGAACCCCTCACCAGTGTGCACCCACGATCTTTCAACGGTTATTTCTGGAGGATCTGTAACCATTAACGAATGTTCTTAAAAACCTGTAGTTATTTAAAGTACCAACAAACACAAATAACAAAATTTTAAAGTATATTTTTACATATATGACTGTAAATTCGTCTGTCACAGTAGTTGTGTAAAAAAGTTCTTCCGTAAAAATAAAGTTCATTCAATAACTAGTGTATGCAAATATATGAAATCTTTATGTCAATTGATAGGTTGTTTTTAACTTGAGTGTTTAAAAATGATTTTTGCTGGCATATACATAAAGTAAAGAATTAAACTTTATTTTTCTTTATTTTTATTTCAACGAAACAAAACATTTTCAATAACAAAACACTACATAACATGAATTTATTTAAAAAGAAACTGTACCATCTATCGAAAATTTTATGACATTATTGAATTTCTGACATTGTTTCTGTTTCTGAAATTGTACTAATAATTTAATTTGTTATTTTTTAAATATCATTTAGGTTATTTTATTGTTTATAGTGTTCTAATGTTTAATTTACTCATGAATTAAATTTAATTTGCATGCTATATGTTAAAACAAGTGGTATTTTTTTTACAAGTGACCTCAATATAAATAAAATGAGAACATCATCAATGTAGTCGAAGTCAAGTAAATAAGCATTACTAAAGATAACTCAAAAACTACCGCCCAGATCTTGATCAAATTTATATGGAACCCCATAAGAAGCACCAGATTTCAAATAAAATGGAATTATCAAAATTGGTTCACCTAAAAAAAGTTGAATTGAGAACCTCGTTTTTTGAAGTCGGTTGATAACAAAATATGTTTTATTTTTATTTTAAAAAACGTTACCCCCACACTAGGATTTTCTCCTGTATCGTGGAGGCAGTTTACAAACATAAATTGCACAAGGACAACTTTTTGCTAAACCACTGCGCCACGCGGCTCCGTATGTGTGTAGAATACAACAAAAAATCTGTATATTTACCATGTTATATGCAAATAAAGATTGTTATTATTATATCAATGTAAATAGAACTGCGTTCGTGTATTGAATATGTTGCCTCTCAGGTTTAACGTGAATTTCTTGTAGAGCGTTACGTAGTCCACATGGCACATTTGAATTTATATCTTGGTAGATTTAAGCGACTTTTTAAAAGCACCTGGGGTGCATTTAATCTCGCTGCGATATTACCGCCCCGTTCAAGTGTTTATCCTCGGTGGAAATTGAATTTGCGAACGACGTGCGAAATTAAATTTTGACGAATTCGCGCCAGTGCGGAGATTGGAAGAGCACGTGTGATAGATTTATGATGTTGATTAAAAAAATTGATAAGATAATGCCCTCCGAAGATTTATATCGAGAAAACCTTACCTATTTTAATATTAATACCTACAGTTGTTGTTCCGTATTTGATGTCTTTATTTCCTTTTCATTAATGGTTCGGTATAGTTTTATAACTAGAAATAGTACAATTTGAAAGGAAAACATCTCGTCTTACGTATAACATTTCGAATAAATATTTTTTCTTACTGGCAAGCACTCTTTAACTTTGAAGCGAGCAACCCTTTTTTCAACTACACCCGCAACGACCACTAGTAACGGCCAAGTTCCTCGTCAACGCAAGCATTAACGCTTTTGACGGTACCTTGTACGCGCGCGTTCCGTTACCAGCAATAGATAAGATCTCATTTCCCTGCTCCATCGAATACTAAGGCAGCTTTCCATACCTGACCTGTGGATAAAAGAACAATAGTGGACACATTCGGCCAGAAGATACATCACATCGGGCCGGTAAACGTTGGGCAGCTCAGAAATTACCCAGGTGAGTGTTTGCCAGGTCTTATGTACATAACATAATTGTTTTTGGACCTTGCGAGCCAAATCTTTCCTTTCAAATCGTGCTGTCTTAGTAAGAGTGTTATCTTTAGTTTCACACACACTTTAAATTTTAAAATTTAACGTACATACGTACTTTCACCGACGTGTCGTATAGGCCATCTTTGCAACGCAAAATGCCGGATCCAGCACGAGTTGAAGAATTTATGTGTGATGTTTCATGCGAGCAGGACATGTTCGAACGCGATATTATTTTAGATGATTTAAAAAGAACATTACAGTTCGCAACGACCGATGAACAAAAGTTCCGTTCGCGAACTAAAGATCTTACGGCACAACAAAGAAAGTTTAGTAAATTACAAACTAAAATAGAAAAATGTCTAATAAAGACAAAAATGTTCAACAAAGATGAACAAATTAAAATTCGTAACGATTTTGATGACGCATACTACGCTATTGTCACGCATCTGAGCAAATTAAAACAAGATGACGAACAAGTCAGGCGTATGAGTAGGTCTTTTAACTCCGAATCGTTTGCACAATCCCACAATCCAAAATTGCCTAAAATTCCCTTGCCCAGCTTCTCGGGTAATAGTACTGACTGGAATTCATTTTATGACTTATATATTTCACTTGTACATAACAATAATGCCTACACGGATGCGGAGAAATTCAGATATTTACTCCTTACTTTAAAAAATGAACCTTATAATTTAATTAAATCAATTCCCATTACCGACGCGAACTATTCTGTAGCCTTACAGGTATTAATTACGCGTTATGAGAACAAAAGAATTATAGCTTCCACTCATCTCGACAAAATTCTCGATGTTGAACCTTGTTCAGAAAAATCAACAATCAGCTTACGTAATTTACTAAACATTTACCAAGAAAACATTAAAGCACTTGAAGTCATGAAATTTCCTACAAACGAATGGAGTTTTATCTTATTAACGATTTTACTGCGAAAAATTCCTTCATCTATCCGCAAACGTTTTGAGTTATCATTAAAATCACCATCAGAAATTCCTGATATCAACACACTAATATCCTTTTTGGAGCGGGAGTTGTCCGCAAGCGAAATTTCTCACCCTAATTTCGGTCAAATTACTAAACACGAGGGTCAATCAAAATCAAACGCACCATCAAGCAGCGGCGGTAGCCGCACGACGGCATCTCAGGGCGCACGCCGTATATTTATAGGAAACAACACATCACAGCCTGTTTCAGAGTCTGCATATAATATTCCAAACAAATTTCCGAGTGTTAAATATTTCCATTGTATATGCTGCGACGCCCAACATACACTAACTAAATGTCCGACGTTTTTAAACCTATCACCCAAGGAGCGCTATACATTTATTAGTGGTAAAAACGTTTGCTTTAATTGTTTACACGTTGGACACGATGTTAAGCAATGCAGATCAAATTTTATGTGTCGGACGTGCAACAAACATCATCATACGCTAATTCATTTCGATAATCAATCTTATGTAGCTGCTACCGAGACAGCTGATCCGCATGACAGCTCCGCTTCACTCCCTCCTACAGCGTACGATCCCGCCACTTCGAGCGATTCTCAGCTGGTTATGACGTCGATACATCACACGACTCGCGACGCTAGCGCGCAATCTAGTTCTGCTCCGTCAGTGCGAACGAGTACAGTGTTACTGTCAACAGCGCTCATCGATGTTTACGTAAATAATCATAAGCGATCGACCGTGCGTTGTCTCATAGATTCGGGAAGCCAGGTTTCCTTTATTAGTGAGGCGTGCGTACAACGTTTGGGCTTAGCGAGAAAACATGTCAATATTCCTCCTGTTTACGGAATCAATGAAAACAAACCGGTTTATCCAAAGGGTTTAGTTTCGTGCTATATTACACCAAAAAATAAAACACAACCTTCGGTACAAATCGATGCCTTAATCTTACCGAAGCTTATTACTACACAAATGCCCTCTTGTCAATTACCTTATAAGGAATGGTCCCACATTAAAAATTTGACGTTGGCTGATCCCGATTTCTTCACACCACAACCCGTAGAAATGTTACTTGGAGCGGACATACTTCCCCAAATTCTATTAAACAATACGGTGACTGGGCCTCCTGGTACACCCATAGCAATAAATAGTATTTTTGGATATTTACTGCTAGGCAAGCTAGATTTTAATATTCATTCACCCGTTTCATTCCCAGTTCAAGTGTTTTACAGCTCGGTTAACGATGAGTTTGATCTTCAACGCTTTTGGGAAATAGAATCAATTACAGAACAAAGGTCTCTCACTCCCGACGAAGTTTTGTGCGAGACAATTTTCGAAAACACGCATACGCGTAATGATACAGGACGATATGTAGTCGCTCTGCCTTTCAAGCCTGACGCCTTGCCCCTTGGTGAGTCACGTGACATTGCTATCGCTCGATTTCGCAGATTAGAATACAAGCTTGAACGCAATCCGCCACTGAAATATAGTTATCATGCATGCCTCCAGGAGTACTTGGACCTTGATCACATGGAACCTTGTGATGGCCTTTCACCTAAATCTGGTGGCTTCTATTATATTCCGCACCACTGCGTGGTGAAGGAATCTAGCGAAACAACAAAAATGCGAGTGGTCTACGATGCAGGTTGTAAGACTACCCATGGGAACTCCCTGAATGATGTTTTGTTTACAGGACCCAAGCTCCATCTGGATATAGTCGACGTTCTACTGAAGTTTCGAATTCATTCTATTGCCTTCACAGCTGACATTAAACAGATGTACCGCAACATTTTAGTCCGTGACACAGATAGGGATTTTCAGCGTATCGTATGGCGCACTTCTCCTGACGAACCTATACGTGACTATCGCCTTCGTACTGTAACTTTCGGAGTTAGTTCCTCGCCTTACCTCGCACTTCGTACAATGCGACAACTTGCGCTTGATGAAGCCACTCGTTTCCCACGTGCTTCTCAAGTCATAATAGGTGACATATTCGTAGATGATATAGTGTCAGGCGACAATACGGAGGCAGAAGCTCTTGCTCTACAACAGGAGTTAATAAGCATATGTCAGGCTGCCGGCTTTACTCTTCACAAGTGGCACAGTAACTCGCCTGCGTTACTCGCTGCGGTTCAGCCCACAAGTTCTCATGGTGAGCGGCACCATTACGTACCTTTTGCGGAGATGGAAAATGACATGAAAACTAAAGTACTTGGTCTTCAGTGGAACTCAAATTCAGATTCATTTACTTTCAGTGTTCAAATTACCTCTAACAAATGTACTAAGCGTTCGATTCTTTCAGAAATTGCTAGAATTTATGACCCACTTGGCCTTTTATCGCCAGTCACCATTTTTGCTAAGCATTTAATCCAGTTGTTGTGGATAGCACGTGTAGATTGGGACGAACACCCACCCCAAGATATAATAAATTCATGGGCCAGTTTTACTAACGAGCTTCCACTCTTATCGAAAGTTACTTTTCCGCGACATGTATTTACCCACACTCATTCTGTACAACTTCATGGGTTCTCAGATGCATCCGAGAAAGCGTATGCCGCATGCGTCTATCTTCGCGTGCGGGGAGACATGGGTGCAGTGGATACTTACGTTCTTTTAGCTAAAACACGCGTGGCGCCTACTAAACGTATGTCCATACCGCGCCTAGAGCTCATGGCGGCCCTATTATTATCTAGATTAATGAAAGCTACCTTAAATATTTATAGGAATCGCATACCTCGCGATCAGATATACGGATGGTCTGACTCTTCTGTGGTACTAGCGTGGTTGCGTTCTTCACCACATGAGTGGAAAACCTTTGTTTCCAATCGCATAACAGAAATTATAAGTAATATTCCGTATTGCCGTTGGCGGCATGTTCCGTCTGCAGACAATCCGGCAGACGCGGCTTCACGCGGAATGCTTCCCGCCAATTTTTTACATCACAGCATATGGTTCCGCGGTCCTCACTTCTTAAAAAAGGATGAGGCTACTTGGCCTGTTTTCAAAGCTACTCAGACACAAGAAGAAAAACGTAACATTGCAATTGTTTCCAATCCATGCACTTCTTCTTCCACCAACGACGACGTAGAAATTATATCACGTTATTCATCCCTGGGTAAACTGGTACGTGTCACTGCTTTATTATTCCGTTTCTATAAAAAATGTAAGAAGGTTCAAACCCCTCTTTCTAAACATATTTCCGTAACCGAGTTCAATTTTACTTTGAATCGACTCATATTTCTTGTACAACAATCCGTTTTTCGTGATGACATTTACAACCTTTCTAAGGGAAAACTCCCATCAAATCAATTAAGACGCTTAAATCCCTTTATTGACTCAAACAATTTTGTTCGCGTAGGTGGGAGGATACATAAGTCCCTTTTACCATATGAATCAAAACACCAATTAATCTTACCTAAAAACATCCGTTATCGATTCTAATTATTAATTACACTCACGTATCTCACTTACATGCCGGTGCGCAAAGTACACAATACATACTTCTACAAAAATATTGGATCTTATCCGGGCGTGACGTCATACGGCAATGTATTCATCGCTGTGTCCGTTGTTTTCGAGCATGTCCCGTGCGCCAGCAGCCCAGCATGGGTCCATTGCCTGCCTCACGTTTGCGACCCGAACGACCCTTTCTTAAAACCGCCGTTGATTTCGCTGGTCCTTTTTACGTTCGAGCTAACAAAGTGCGAAATGCAAAAATAGTAAAATGTTACGTCTGTGTATTTGTATGTATGTGCGTTAAGGCCATACACCTCGAAATAGTTTCGGAACTTACAACAGAGGGTTTCTTAGCGGCACTACGTCGCTTCACGTCTCGCCGAGGTTTATGCAAGGATATTTATTCCGATTGCGGTAAGAATTTCATCGGCTGTGACAGGTACCTAAAGGACTTGTATGCCTTCCTACGGAATGACACTGTACAAGGCGCGCTCCAGAATAAGACTCTGGAAGAAGGAATAACATGGCATTTTCAGCCACCGTATGCAAGTCATTTTGGTGGCCTCTTTGAAGCGGGCGTCAAAAGTTTTAAACACCATTTTCATCGGGTAGTAGGTCCTCGTATCCTAACCTATGATGAGATGCATACCCTATTATGTCAAATAGAGGCAGTGCTAAACTCGCGTCCGCTATGCATATTGAGCTCCGATGCGCAGGATCCCCTCCCTCTAACTCCGTCTCACTTTCTGATAGGTGAACCGTTAACAGCTATCCCCGACGTTTCACTTGTGGATGAAAATCCGGGTAGATTATTCAGGTGGCGTTTGATACAACAATCGGTTCAACATTTCTGGAAAAAGTGGAGCTTAGAGTATTTGCATGAAATTCAACAACGTGGCAAATGGTTCACCAATCGTGGAAATCCGGTCCGTGAAGGCATGATTGTGGTAGTATGCGATGATAACCTTCCACCTTTACAATGGCGACTTGCGCGTGTACACCATCTGCATCCAGGTTCTGATGGGATTACGCGTGTTGTAACTCTCCAAATTGGGAAAACATATTTGAAGCGACCAGTTAATAAAATTTGTCCACTTCCTATAGAATAATAAACGTAAATAATGATTCATATTCCTTATTTTACTTTCTTTAGAAATAACTTAAATATTTATCCGTAATTTTAAGATATAGTTTGATATTTACTAGGTTTAACTTTATTTATACTCCTTACATTTTTTTTTATCAAGGGCTAGTTTGTATTACAGATTTGTTTAGATTTAGTTAAAAGATACTGCGTACTTTTAAGGTGAGCGGCATGTTCCGTATTTGATGTCTTTATTTCCTTTTCATTAATGGTTCGGTATAATTTTATAACTAGAAATAGTACAATTTGAAAGGAAAACATCTCGTCTTACGTATAACATTTCGAATAAATATTTTTTCTTACTGGCAAGCACTCTTTAACTTTGAAGCGAGCAACCCTTTTTTCAACTACACCCGCAACGACCACTAGTAACGGCCAAGTTCCTCGTCAACGCAAGCATTAACGCTTTTGACGGTACCTTGTACGCGCGCGTTCCGTTACCAGCAATAGATAAGATCTCATTTCCCTGCTCCATCGAATACTAAGGCAGCTTTCCATACCTGACCTGTGGATAAAAGAACAATAGTGGACACATTCGGCCAGAAGATACATCACATCGGGCCGGTAAACGTTGGGCAGCTCAGAAATTACCCAGGTGAGTGTTTGCCAGGTCTTATGTACATAACAGTTGTTATAACTTAATTTCGCATAAAGAAACAAAATGATGTGTCCTGTCTAGTTTGAAGAGCACCTTCCACAATTGTGTGTACTATCTCCGTCACCACCATTCCCAGCACCACCACCACCAGCACCACAACATAGACCCTTTTTACTGGTACAAAGCTTTCCATCTTAGTCCTCAGAGGTGACAACTCATCTGCATTTTTAACTTAATCGAGGATAAATGTAGATGTCTATGGGCCACAGCATCCACTTACCATCAGGTGGGATGTGTGTTCGTTTGTCACCTTTATTCTATATAAAAAAATCTTATTCTAACACCTTACAACAAAGGTAGCAATAAGCGGACGCAATGTGGGCGACGTATATAGATTGTATCATTACTTTACTCACAAAGGACTTGCAGCTGAAACTCTGTCACCACCGGTGGTCCTACGCCATTGTCGACTGTGCAGGCGTAGCGTCCACTATGCGACCGCTCTAATCTCGACAACTGTAGCTGAGGGCCATCGGCGAGGCGGACATTTGTTTCGTTCAGATGAGTGTTGTAGGAGTCCACCTGTTGGAAAAGAAATTGTGGCATGGCATTAAATATCAATGACTTCAGAGCTGTGTCATTCATTCATTTCTAGTGAGCCGATCATTCGAGTATAGATTCGTCCTCCGAACCGGGTCATTCGGATCGACCATTCATATGGATCATTTCTTTACTCACTCGTCGTCGAATCAATGTCGTCGGACATTACTATAATCTTTTATGCATGTAAACTGTTCCCACGATACGGGAGAAAATCCTTTATATTAAATTCCTGAAAATCCCTGATAAGGGTAACAAGCGAGCACACAGTTCACCTGATGGTAAGTGGCTACTGTGACCCATAGACCTATCCTATCCTAGACCTATCCTCGTTTGCGAATCAAAATGCAGATGCGTTGTCAACCGTGAGGACTAAGATGGAATGCCTATTTTCCAGTAAAAAGGTCTCCGGTTATCTACACACACCGTACGAAACACAGCAGCATTAAGCTGCTATTACGCTGGTATTCTGTGAGAGCGTGGTCCTTCCCCGGTCGAGCCGGCCCATTCCTGCTACAACGATACAATTAATATAGCTGCAGCATGGCTCTACCACCTGAAGGAAAGCTTATTTTAAAATAATGAAATAGATAGAAATAAAAGATACCATTTTATGCCACGTAACACTAGGCACTGGGTTGCCTGATGCCCTGCATTCCAGCACAGCGGCACCACCACGACGCGCTGCAGCATGTCGAGACTCTGGTGACGCTCTTACACTTGGCGGCACCAGCACTTCAACTGTGTGGACCTGGTCGCGGGAGATGCGGTCTGATATCTGGCAAACGTAGTCGCCTGCATCCTGAAAAGAATAAGCGATTTGACAATCAATTTTGATCTCTGCGACATGTGTCAGAGACATAGCTATATCTTAAAATATATCCAGATTAGCATAATATTATGAACATTTTTTATAATGTATTATTATATAAAATAATATTGGACAGACGTAGTCCTATCCATTCCAATAGATGGTGCCGTTAGTTTCCCCCCAAAACTCCAGATTTTTACAGTGCAAATATAAAATTTATATACTATCTCATCCCATGTATATCATAATGGGCAACAGAGGGAAACAAAAACAGGATATGGGCAGCAGCGTCTTCCTAATTACGACTTAAAATAAAAACTGCGGTTGCCAACCCGCTTGGCAAGCGTGGCAACTATGGCAAATATCCCTCCTGTGAGACAATCTATAGGAGAGACCTATGTTCAGCAGTGGATTTTACTAGGCTATAACGGTAACGCGACTCGAAAGTGACAAAATCTGGATCCGATATGATATATTATGGAATATGAGTTTGAACTTTAACTTGACACCAGTGCCATCTATTGGATCCTAGCCATAAACCATTGTTTCGATATAAACAAAATTAAAAGTAAATATAACCTCAATCTGTCAAGTAATATCGATGTTACATGATCACTAACAGAAGCAGCACCGGTTATACAGGGTTATTTTTCAAAGAGTAACCAAATTTTATACTTAAGTTCAAATAAATATATGAATGTTGATATACCGTTATTGCACTTTAAGAAAATACGAGTAAATAAGGTTTCTATCTTTATGAAAATATCTCAAATTGAATGTGATTTATGGGCAACAACTATGTGTTCGCGCGCTCCTCTGTGTGCGATTCTATTCACAACATTTTCTGCCAACCGATCGACCCTTATAAATGTGTGCGTGCGTAGTAAAACAGTAGGATTTAGATATTTATGAATGGCAATCAGTTAAAATAATGCTACCACACATTCTGAATTTATAACATAAAAAGGACAGAATGTTTGAGATTATTTTTAATAATATTTTCTTCATTCCCCTATATCACTTATTCTGAACCTTTTCCGCAAATTTGGCTGTATAATGCAAAATAAACCTGTATATTACCAAATGATGGCAGCGTAAGAGGATCACCTTATATCACGGAGCAAATACAAAGAGGAGATGGCATAAGCAACTGTGCACTGTGATAAGTTTACTAGTTTAGAGACGGAACACGTGTCATGTTATCAACGGTTTTTTTTGTTTTTCCTAATGTAGTGGTGTTGGGATTAGTGTTGACTGAGATAGTTTACACAATTGAGGGAGCGCGGGAGGTTCTCTTCAAATCAAGTAATACATTTTTTTTAAACGTAGATTTTATTTTATTACGTGGACTTAGCTGATTAATTTGTAACACGTTTAATATAATGAAATTCCGCAATATAACATTTGGTTGTATCATTTTCATATAACTGTTAGACGTGTTTTCCTGATTAGGCAGTCTGATTAGTAAGTACTGTCGCTACGGAACAGTTTGAGTCTATTGTTGCTTCTGGGATACGGCTAGAAGGATCAATGAGCAATTATACTCGCTCTTCGATCCGGCTCGAAAGATCAAACAATCGGCATTGTACTAGCTCTTTGATACTTTAAGCCTACAGCCTATTGATGTTTACCAGTGCTTCTTCTTCATCAGGCCGTAAAAGCCTACACCGGGGAATAGGTCTTGCAGTACCAAATGCCAGATAGGACCTCTTAATTTAAATAATATGAAGTAAATTCTATGTCCTATACAAAGGACATTGGGTCTCACGAGGATTCAGCAAACGTATCGTAGGTAGGTCATGTTAGGTTGGATAAGGTTAAGTGAGGTAATATTAGGTTAAAAAAGTCAAATATATTCAGTAGTTAGGCCACAATAAACACAAAACACAGCAGCATTAAGTTATATAAGATATATATATCTTATAGCCATGATATCTACATCATGCTGCATCATTGCCACTATGAAGACTTTATGCCCTGTACCCAAAGAACCCGGATTTAAAAAAACCAACCTTCAGCTTTTGAATTTTAGGGGCCATTTTGCACAGAGAACACAATATATATGTGAACTATATATATATATATATATATATATATATATATATGTATACAAATATTCCGACTTACTCACAACAGTTTATAACTGTCGCGTTCCATATTCCTCAGAACTTTTATCATTTAATCCGTAGGCTTACTGAATTTCCGTCAGTGCCGAGTTTCTCTGAAAAAAGTTTTTTTTTGCTAAACTCGGAACGCGCGTTGTAGTGAATTTAAAAACTTTTCCCGCCTGCGAAAATTGATATGCGAGAGATCTATTATATCCAACGCAATGTTTTTGTACCCAACGTACTTGTACGCGTAGACAAAAGATCACGCTGTTTGGGAAGTTTCGAATTACTCGTTCCACAACGTTGTTTTTTAAATACCGCACAATATTTACAATCATGGCGTGCAAGAGAATTGGCCACCGCAGCGAGAGACAGGAGATCTGAAGTAGTATATTCCTGTTAAGATCTTATATAAAAAAAATCGGTTGCCAACTTGCCTGTTAGGGATCATAACTGTGGCAAATATATATGTGAGGAAATTATTAGAGATTTCATATTTATACAAACACCTAATTTTACATTTAACTTACAATAAATATTTTGAATTTCAATTTGACTTTGTGTGTGTGTGTGTATGTGTAAACTTTTATTAAATATTAACCCCCGACAAAAACAGGGACGTGTTATGTTTGTAGTGTGTATTTGTGTGTCTGCTTGTATGGTACAAGCAGTATAGCTCCTGAACGGATGAACCGATTTTAACCGACTTAAAAAAATCGAAGATTCTTAATTCGAGTGTATGTTTTTTCTACCGACTTCAAACAGAAGGAGGTAGTCAATTCGACTGTATGTTTTTGTGTGTTACCTCATAACTGTTTTCTGGGTGAACCAATTTCGATGATTGTTTTTTTATTTCATGCTTCTCACGTGGTCCCATATAAATTTGACCAAGGCTTGATCAATAGTATTTAAGTAATTCTTAATAATGTATATTGAATTCGGTTGTACAAAATTTTTAATTTTTAATTATTTTTCTTTTTATACGATAAGGGTAACAAAAGAGCACACAGGCCACCTGATGGTAAGTGGTTGCTGTGGCCCATATACATCTACATCTATCCTCGATAAAGAATCAAAATGCAGATGCCTCTTTTTCAGTCAAAAGGGTTTCCGGTTTTCTACACATTTCACGGTCTGCTATTTAACGCTGGTATTCTGTGAGAGCGTGGTCCTTCCCCGGTCGAGCCGACCCATTCGTGCTGCAACTATACTACTAATGTAGCTGCAGCATGGCTCTACCACGTAAAAGATTGTATGTATGGTACGCGATAAATTGGCAAATTTTGAACCAATTTTGATAATTCTTTCTTAATTAAATAGGTTATGCTTTAAGGGCGGTGCTATATAAATTTGGAGAAAATATTTCACCCCTGAGGAAGGCAAATAAATAACTTCTTTTTAGCAATTTGAAGTCGGTATTTACATCTTTGTTAAAATATATAATTATGAGTAAATTTTTTCGTTTGAAAGGTGTCTTATTCGAGAATGTTCTTAGCTATATTACAAGAAAATCTATTCAGCCGTATGAAGAGAGGACCTCTTTTTGTTTCGGGCATTTAAAAAATATTTTAGTTATATATCTTGTTCTCTGTTACCGATTTTGTGGTTTTCTCACTGTCTTAAGGTTGAATGGCAAAGAATGCTTTAAGAATTAAGTCCGCTGTAAGGTTCAATAAAGATTAAATAAATAAATGTTTGAAATAAAGCTTCCATCGCCTTTTTAAATGGACCAAATTGTTATACCGCATTTCGAGTACCTACATTCTTAAGGGTTTTGTTGGAAGCAGATTCTCAAGAATCGATCTTGTAAATCGGAAGAATACGGCTGTCATCCACGTCTTTCGGTATGGGTTGGTTCAAGTTTTTTCCTCTGTCATTTCATTTATATAAATAAAATAATAGACGATTGCAGTTGTGCGCGCATCACGGAAATACTAATGGATACATTGCAATTAGGTTTACTAAGCTTTATTCCTTTGACACTTGGCCCTTATTTAAAAAAATATTTCGATATCTTCATTTAATGTAAAATTATTAAAGTTTTACGAAACAACGATTTTTATAAGTACCACTTGTTCAGTGATGTGTGTAAGCAACGCGGACGAAGTCGCGGATGTCAGCTAGTAATAAAAAAAAAGCCGACTTCTTATTCCTAAAAAAAACAACATACATTCTGATGTCTGATTGATAAATTATATGGTATTTGAATAGTTTAAATGTAAATAACGCCACATTAATAGATCCTGTCCAGGCAAAGCCGGGGCGGATAACTGTATAAAAAAAAACATTGTTCAAATTCATAAGGCTAATGTCAAGCACATAATAGTCTGTGGTCAAACAGTCGCACAGAGTAGAGATTGTCGCCATTGTTTTATATATATATTAATGTACAGTTGGAAGCATAGATAATACGTGTATATACTGAGAGTTTAAAGTGAACTACAGCTTGCTTAGTAATCATCCATCATCATCATTACAGCCCTTCACAAGTCCACTGCTGAACATAGGCTCCTCCAAAGAATGCTACAAAGCATGGTTCTGAGCCACCTGTATCCATCGACTTTCTGCATGTCTCACCAGGTCGTCGCTTCGTCTAAGTGGCCGCCACCCGTGAACCTTTCTTCCCCATCGGTTGTCAGTTCTTTGAGCTATATGGCCGGCCCATTGCCACTTTAGCTTACTAATCCGTGGGGCTATGTCGGTTCCTTATCGTTTTTAAGTCTATCATGCAGAGAAACCCCGAGCATAGCCCAGTCCATAGCTCGCTGGGTGACTTTGAGCTTCCTCATACGGCCAGTAGTGAAGGACCACGTACCTTAATAATCTGTGCATCAATCTATACAAATAAATAAAATTGGAGTGTCTGCTTTTAATGTCAAAATA